TTGTTCTCTACTTCAAAAAAACACTTTAGATTTTAAAATGTAAAAGCGTTCTAATTTTATTCCAGGGTTAAATTCGGTTTAAAGTAACGGATTATAATTTAAACTGAGCCCTGATCTAAAGAGCCGCATGTGGCCCCGGGGCCGCAGGTTGCAGACCCCTGGCCCCCAGCAACAGCTGGTTGGAAAAGCTTCATCATCTGCGGCAGCAAACAGACATGCGCGTAATGATGATGTTCATGTTCATGTGGCAGAGTAACGGAAGGAAGAGCTGCTTTAACACGTTCATTTCAAGAGTTCAGAAAAAAACCCGTGAAGAAGTTAAACGTTGGTGTTTAGTCGTTACTCCAAACGGACTTAGAAATGAAGGAAGATAAACCGCTTTGTTATCATTATCGCTTCCTACCTTGGAGTAAAGTTCAGAGGCAGCCATGACTTTAACGCTCAGCGGAGATTCTTTCTAGCAGCTTGAAAGGAGGAGAAACATTCCGCTGCCTCCTGGATCTCCTTCACTTTGCTCCTTCCTACCGACCAGGAGGACTGGGCTCCCTCATGCTCAGCAGCTGTCAATCAGCTGTGCGGCCCCCCCTCCACCCCACATAGATTAACAACCTGAGCCAATTCCGCCCCCTAGTGGCTAATCATTAAACTAAATGATGTATGGAAAGCAACTGCTGTCAAAATCCGCCTCTCCTTTCACTGGGATGCTCTAATAGTTTCCCAACTTTTTTTTCTTACCATGAGTTCCCCTCTCAGTCAAAAGTATTGATGATTGTCCAAAAGTGAAACGTACAATAACTGATAAAAAAAAAAAAAAAAACTTAATCTTTTAATTTGCTTAATCTTTTATTTCCATCTCAAAAAAAACAACATAAATATGTTGCTTGGTTAGAAAGGAAGCAAAAAAATAAATAAATAAATAAAATCATATTATAAATCTGTATTTATAAAACTGGAGCTCCTGTGAGTAACTCCCTTATAATTCCATTTAAACTGCAGGAGTTACAAACAAAATACAGAAAAAAAGTATAGTTACACTGACTTAATTAGTTTTATTTTGTTTTCATCCACACACATGGGCTGCTTTGATGAACTCTGGTTGCTCAGGGTGAAAAACAGCACATCCCAGGCTCTTCTCTGCATCCAGAATGTTCCTCTTGGTTTTTCATTTGTGTCAAAGCTGAACTCAAATAAGAAAAACTTGCTTTTTGGTTGATAAAAGCTTGTGTAATTTTTTTTATTTATTTTTTTATTATGTCCTCACAAAGCAAAACAGACCCCAGCCATATTTTATTTTACTACCTAAGAAATGAAATATTTCATGTACCCCTTGCAATGCACTCACGGACCACTAGGGGTACAAATAACCCCTGGTTGGGAATCACTGATCTAATGGGGTGTATTTATTACAGAAACTATTTCAAAACACAATAACCTTCTATGGCTTCTCTTTTATTCTTTTAAAAAACATGACTTGATAAAATTATTATAGTAAATTAGAATTTCTAAAAACTTACCTGGCAAGTGGGGGATATTTTTTGGTGTAAGTTTGTCTTTTTGTGTTTGCAGTCAACATATTTTCTCTCAGATAAAACCTTCAACCTTCCTTATTCACATGTAAGTTTATCTGGTTTGCTGCATCTGTGTCACACTGACAGAAAACTGAGTTAGAAAAATAAAATAAACAAATTGTTTTAAACTAAAAGGTCAAATAAAGGTCTTTCAAATACCTTTATTTGACAGAATATATTTTTTAAGAAAGAGGCAAATGTTTGACTGCATGTCCACCTGCCTCACAGAGCTACAGACACACACAGCGTCACTGTGTTGCCATGGCAGCGGCTGCTTTCCTTTTCCGTTGGAGGGAAGAGGCCTTTCTTTTCTCCTTTATACCCTCCAGCTTCAATCAAGGCACCTCCCACAGCTGCAAGTGGGAGCTGTGGGAGTGGCACTGGTAATTAAGGGTTAGTGCTTAGAAGGCAGTTTGGCCTCGGGCCAAATATCTCAAAAGCGAAGGGTGTAGTTCTACCCTACATCGCCGTCAAGGAAACTCACAGCGAGTGTAGTTTGAAGTGAGTATTGGGAGGAAGGAGCCACTGATTGGGAAAGGATGAAAAAATGATGAATTCCCACAATGCACCTTGAAAAGTAGCCCACAGAGATGGTCAGTAGACGAGCTAATATATCCCAGAATACTTTGCAAAGCTAAAGTATTCATCAGTCCAATATTTTATTGTTTATCTTTTAA